GTACCTTGTTTCTGTGTATCCTTGGGGGCATAATCTCTGCATGCAGTTTGTTTCCTCCACAAACACTGTGCCCAGTCTTCCGCATCTCACTGTGTTCATTTATCTGTTTGGGGGATTATTCCGTGTCAGTCACGTAGATTGCATCATCCTGTTTAACGGCCTTGCTAGGATCTTGTGAACTGTGTACGATGATTCACATAACCGTCACCCACAGGTGGACATCGCATCTTTTGCTGTTTCACAGGGTGCTGCAGTGACTCTTGGGCACATACTTGGGTGTACACATGTGGGTTTAACAGTTGCATAAATTCGTAGAGGGGAGGTGTTGCTGGAAAACCCCACCCTTTGAATTTTTGTCCATCGTTTTCCATGACTGTCCTCTTCGCAGGAGAAGTTACGCTCCTGGCAGGGTTTGTGGACTCAGGGAAGTGGATATGGTGGGCGGCGTTCTTGGGCTAAAACCACCTTGCTGAGCTCATTCCAGTTGCACGTGTGCATGTCCAGGTGTATAAAACCCTGCGAGACGCCGTGGTGACCATGTTCAGGACCGAAGGGCCCCTGGTCTTCTACAGAGGCTTGAGCCCCACCTTGATCGCCATCTTCCCCTACGCCGGCCTCCAGTTCTCCTGTTACAGCTCCCTGAAGCGCTCCTACGAGTGGCTCATGCCGGCTGAAGGAAAGAAAAACGGTGAGACAGCCCCGGCCCCACCCCCACGCCGCGAAATAACGTTTTCCTGTCAGAAGCTGAGACGCCACTGTTCTCTGCACCTGGCTCTGATGTGGCGAACAAAGCAAACACGTGCAGCCGCTGAGAGATGACTTTGTTCTTCCACCTCCTGCCACACCCGTCATTGGCATCACTGAAATTTATTTCCAGTGATTGGTCATGGTTTTCATTTCTGTCAGAAGTCCAGATTGCAAATTCCCGGTGTTTTGGTTGTGGGTTTTTGGTGGTTCTTGGGTGGGGTGGGGGAGGATGGGGGGGCATCCCGAGCCTGGCCTTGAACCGAGTCAGGCTGCAGTGCCCGCAGGCCCTGGCTGCCTCCGGCTGGCAGGTAGCTGCAGAAAGGATTTCTTCTGTCAAATTTGGATTTGGTCAAAAGGCCGCACTCGGGGATCCAGAAGGCCACATGTGGCCCCAGGGCCGCAGGTTCCCACCCCTGGCTCACGCCCTGTTGCCACGAGCCTGTCTAGCCTGCAGTCTAGGGCCACTCTTGCCAAAAGTGGCTGTGTCTGGCTTTCTTGCTCCTAGATTGAATTCTTCTTTGAGATCGAAGGATGCTTGTGGAGTTTTGGTTTGTGATGGAGGATTAGACCTGATGAACTTTAAGTCACCCACCATAGACTGTGTTTCTCTCATCCTTCCCCTCAATCTCACTTCTCTGGTTCAGAGAACCTCAAAAACCTGCTTTGTGGCAGTGGAGCTGGAGTCATCAGCAAGACCCTTACGTATCCCCTGGATCTCTTCAAGAAACGGCTGCAGGTTGGAGGGTTTGAGCACGCCCGAGCTGCCTTTGGCCAGGTGAGCCGTCCATATGTAGACAGCTCTGACCCTTGCTGTCCCTGGGCACATGAAGGAACCAGCAGTCAGCTCCTGCCCTTTGGGCAGCATTGGCCTCCCCCCCTGGCCTCTTCATGCCCAGCGTGTCCCTGGGGATCCCCAAGAATACAGGAAAGCCACATGCAAAGCCCTGTGTGTCTTGGGTACCATGGAAGGATCCGGGCCAAGGAGGATTCAGTGTCTGCTCTCAAAATGTGTCCAGTACAGTTTGGAAAGGGGTGAATTGAATTTGAGCAACTAAGTTATATTTTAAAGGCACTAGAAGGGTATGCCAATCAGAGAAGCCCCGTGGTAGGTGATGTTGTATTCTTAAAGTCACTATTCAGTTACTCAGATTTTCACAATTGGTCGCCCTCAGCTCCTTTTTGAGCACTGATTTTGTGCAAGGCCTTGGTGGTGGTCAGTGGGCGGGGCAGGGTGGGGAAAGGTACGTAATTCCAGGGCTTTCCCTCCAGATCCTGGGAACCTGGGACGTGGAGGCACGTAGAAACATGCTGACAAAGGTTAGCAGACAAGGAGGGTAGGGAACGGGGGCCAGGAAGGGAGCAAGTGCTCCTTACTTCGGGGAAGAGAAACAATTGGATTTAGAATTTTGATACAATTTCTTTGTAGGAAACTTTAGAAAATTCAGATAGACGAGAAGACCAAAACTCCTGTAATCCCACCATGACTGAGAGCTGATCACATGGAAGCTTTTGGTGTAGTTTTATTTCTTTTCATAAATAAATGCACACGTACATTTTAACAAAAAGGGGGTCATACTGTATACAAGGTTTTGTGACTTCCTTTTTCCATTTACCAATTTGTCCTGAAGGGACAGTTTGAATTTGGACAGGGCAAGATGGTGGAAGCCCAGGACAAAACAGAGACTGCACAATCCAGTTTGGCCAGAGGTGGAAGCGGCGCACGGGAGGACACGTGGGAGGTCAGGTCAGGTCAGGGAGGGAAGCTGAGGTCAAATGGTAGAATGCCTTGAACGACAGGCCTTGGATCTTGAACTTTTTTATGATGTCATTGCCACTGGGAGTCAGTGGAGCTTTTGGAGGGGAGTCAGGCTTGAGGAGGGCTGTGCCCTGGGGACACAGGTTTCAACTGGAGAAGGTGAGGCTGGAGGCAGGGGGTTCAGGCTAGAGGGGCGGCAATGTCAGGCTGGGAGCTACCGAGGCCGGATTCAGGTCTGCCCAAGGGGGACCAGGTGGCATGGGGTGAAGGGTCAGAGACGCCTCTGGGAAAAGGGTCCAGAGCTGTCGCTGGATCCTTCAGAACCACAGTCAGCCAGGCCTCTGGGACAGTAAGGAGCCCTGTCCAGTTGCCGATGTGCAGGCACTTCATCTGCTAAGTCTGACTTAGCCTGATGGCAATAGAAAGAACGAGATGAACTTATTTGCTATTTGCATTCATTCTGTCATCCAGCAGGTATTTATTGGGAGCTGTGATGGGCCAGGTGCTGTGATGGGCCAGTTACTGTGCTGGCACAGGAGTAGAGCTGGCATCCATGTTTTCATCCCTTCTTCTGTCAACTGGAGTGACCTTTCTCTCCCCAGGTGCGGAGCTACAGGGGCCTCCTGGATTGTGCCAAGCAGGTGCTGCAAGAGGAGGGTGCTCTGGGCTGCTTCAAGGGCCTGTCCCCCAGCATGCTGAAGGCTGCCGTCTCCACGGGCCTTATATTCTTCTGGTATGAACTCTTCTGTAACATCTTCCACTGCACGAAGAAGGCAGACAGCCAGCGCTGAGGGCAGGAAGGGCCGGAGGTCTTCCCTGGAGGCAACCTGCCGAGAGAAGGAAGACTCGGTCTCCACTGAGGGGGCCACCTGGCCCATCCCTGCAGGCCACCTGTCCTGAGCAAGAAGAGCCGCTGGGAGCAGGGTGGCAGCCTCGAACCCACCCAGCTGGAACACCGCCAGAAGGCAAGGGCTTTCCCCCAGGAGCAGGCAGAGAGAAAGCAGGGCCTGGGCTGTGGGGTGCCAACACCACAGTGAGGAAGAGTGAAGTTGCTGTTTGTCCTCCATCCGGCCCAAACCCAAAGGACACAGATGCCATCCTACACTCCTCAGCCCGTCTGCCGGGAGAGCTCTCCTCGTTCCGGCTGGGCCACCGCCTGAGTGCAGAGGGCTGGCTTTGCGGGAGTCCGGTCCCCACACCCAGCCTATGTTTCCCACCAACCTATTCAACAGACAGTAAAGCTAAACGCACATTCCTCACCTTATGCCTCCCTCTTCCCTGACAAATCACATCCCTGCCTTCCTCAAATTCCATTTTTGTCTATACCTGCAGCCCTCCGCAGCTCTGCTGCTAGTGCTGGAGGAGACTTCAGGCTGAGCCAGTCACTTCCTGACCCAGTGCCCAGAGCTTCGTGTCTGCAAACGCAGCACCATCGGGCGGTTCTCTCCAGGACTCGGCTGGTCACAGCCATAGGCACAGGCAGCCCTGCTGGGGTGAGGACCTTCCAACTGGGCATTGGCATCACTGCCCTGAGTGTTCCTCAGCACAGAACAGGGTGCCACTCGTCCTTCCCATGACCCCAGAAGGAATGTGGCTCTGATACAGCCCAGTGACGGGATGGCAAAAGGAAGGGGCTGGGCATACAGCCTGTTGAGGGCACAACTGGGATCTAGAGCGTTACCAGGACACAGGGACCCCCGCAGGTGTCTGCCTAGATACACAGGAGAAGTCAACAGACCACAACGACCCCCTCTCCACCTGCCTGGCCGCCTGTAGGGATGCACTGACAGCGGGAGCCCAGAGGGAGCAGAAGGACTTTGCCCTGCCCTCGCTTCTGCCCCTCACACCAGCCTTGGCCCTGGCCTGGAGGAAGGTACCTGCTGGAGCTGGCCCTGGTGGGTGGGTCCTGGGCCCCTTCCACCCTCGTTCCCTGTCTCTGGTCTGGGACTCTGTGGTCTTTCTGGCCCCCGAATGCCCAGGCTTCTGGGCTCTTGGCTGCCAATTCTGAAGGTTCTGGCTGCAGCTGGGGCTTCTGGCATTCAAGGCTTGGGCCTGGGGCTGTGGGGAGGCAGCTGCCTGAACGTATTTTTTTATGAAATTCCATTGAAGTAAAGTTTATTCTCTTCCTCTCTCCTCACTGGTTACTTCTGGTGCAGCTGCAAGTTTTCTTCCTTCATTTTCAGCGACCACTCTGGTGGCTCTTTTAACAGGAGGCGAGAACTCTGGCAGCTTGAGGCGCCATCAGCACTTCACTGTTGTCTGAGTGGTGGCGAGGGTGGCAGTTCTCTCCAGCCTTCTGGATGCCCTTTTGCAACCAGGGCAGATGCCAGGCTGGCCCTGTCTGTCGCCTGAGCAGCCCCAGCCAAGAAAGTCGGGGCCAGGGGACTTGTGCCACCTCAGGGGCACTCCCAACACCTGGAAGGCTGCAGGTTGCCAACTGGGACCTTTTCTCCAGGACTGCCCCCTAGATCTGCAACTCATGCCAGTGTTGTACTTGGAGTAGGAGAGGGGGATCGAGGTTGATCCAGCCCTGGCAGGTTGGGTGGGTGGGAGCAGGACAACAACGCGGTATGGCCTGGGAAGGTGCTGCCACCTGGCCCCGATCGCGCCCTCCGAGGCTCCTCCCACGCCGCGCGGCCGGGCGGTGCCTCCTGCCTCAGTTCACCTGTGTCCCGGGGAGGGCCAGGGTGGGGACCCCCTCGTGGAACTGAGGGCTTCACGCGGGCCGAGGAGCGGGTCCGGCCCAGCGCCCGCCAGCCCGATGGGGCTGGGCTGCGCCGGGTGAGGCGAGGCGAGGCGCGGTGGTGGCAGTGTCGCGGAAGTGCCGCGCGGCCCCGCCTCGGCCCACGCCGGGGGATCCGGCCTAGGCGCGGGCGGGTGGTGCGCGAGGGCCCGGCAGGGAGCGCCGGCGAGCCAGCCCCGCCCCGCGCCGCGTGAGGACGTCGCTGAGCGGCGGAGGCTCCGAGGCGCGCGCTCCCTGCCCGCCGAGCGGCCCGGGCACGCGCCCGGCAGGTGGGTCGTGGTGCCCACGGCGCTTCTGCCGCCCGCGGGACGCTGGACAGCGGGCTCCGCTGCCGGCCCGCGCCGCCGGGAAGGGCGTTCCGGGCCGTGGGGGAGCCGCCGAGGTCTGGAGACCCGTAAGGTCGCCTCGGTTGGCCAAAGGGGAGACTCCAGCGGGACCTGCCTCTCGGCGCACGGTGCCGCTTCCCCCTTTAGGAGGAAGGATCCAGAATGGAGCTCAGGAACTAGGAGTCTCGACTGGGTAGGCCCGGTTTTCTGCCACTCGGGAGGCCAGTTCAACCAGTCTGTCCCGGGGAGAGGCTGCCGGGACCGTGGGAGTTCGGGCTCTAACCGACAGGGGCGGCAGACGGGGCGCCCGCACCCGCCGCCCACGCGGGCCGGCCCCATCCCGGGGCTGCAGGGGTGAGTTTTGCGGACTGAGGACTCTTGTGAAAACCGGCAGAGAAGGTTGGGGAGAGGGGCGTGGAACTCTGCTGGGACAGAGCCGCGCAGCTTAGAGCCCTCAGACTTGTCACTCGCCCGGATCGTGCTGGGCCAAGCAGCTTCCAGGTCCATTTATTTAGCAAACTCTAATTAACGTCCACCTATCCACGCCCCCAAAATCTACCTTGGTATCCGCTGGAAATAACCCTGCCTCCTGCTGGGACCGGAGAGGGGGCGCGTTCATCCCTCATCTCTTTACTCTTGCATAATCCCACAAGCGTGGGGTTCCCTAAACTGAGCAGCAGGTGCCTGGCTGGTGCCCAGTCTCCGCCAGAAGCTTGGTGGGCCCTGGGCCAACCACTGAATGCCATGGGCCGCCTGGGAGCACCTGTCCCAAGCGCTGGCCAACCTCACCCAGAGCCTGAGGACGGGAACCGGCCCTCTACAGCACACCTGAGGCCTCTCCCCTCATGTCTTCTGCTCCCCAGGTGCAGTCAGGCGGCCCAGCACGGTCAAGAGCTGCTGGGGCTGGACGGTCATGGGGGAGCCCAGTAGAGAGGAATATAAAATCCAGTCTTTCGATGCAGAGACCCAGCAGCTGCTGAAGACAGCACTCAAAGGTGAGCATGGAGCCCCTCTTGAGCTGGGGTTGGGAGGTGCAGAGAAGGGCCCATGTGGGGCAGCACCAGAGGGCTGAGCCAGGGACAGGGGGATGCTTCGCCCCTTCCTTCTATTCTTTTGTTTTTTCATTTTCTAGTTGAACAAACTGAGAACTTTCTTTTTTTTTTTGAGACAAAGTCTTGCTCTGTCACCTGGGCTAGAGTGCTGTGGCATCAGCCTAGCTCACAGCAACCTCAAATTCCTGGGCTCAAGCAATTCCCCTGCCTCAGCCTCCAGAGTAGCTGGGACTACAGGCACGCGCCACCATACCCAGCTAAGTTTTCTATTTTTAGTAGAGATGGGGTCTCACTCTTGCTCAGGCTAGTCTCAAACTCCTGACTTAAGTGATCCTCCCACCTCAGCTTTCCAGAGTGCTAAGATTACAGGCGTGAGCCACCACACCCGGCCCCTTCTGTTCTGAGACTAGGAGTCAATGACGTAACTCCTGCACTGGAAGTCAAGCATTTAGGCCAGTATTTGGGAGTATGAATCACAGAGTCACCCGCAGTCTGTAAAGCCTTTTTTTTTCTTTAAGTACCCATGGAAGAGAACACAGTTCCTGCCCTTTAAGCCCGTACATTTGAATTGCTGGTTTCTGCATCACTGCAGCCAGCGCTCTTGAATGTGCAGAGCTGCCTGCCTTGGGACAGAGGATAGAGTATTTGGCTTGGCAGAGGAGATATACATTACTCGCCCTGGCCTGATGCCTTGCCTCTAACACTCAGGACAGAAGTCTGTCTTCAGCTAACAACTAGCAATGCCCATCACGTGCCAAACCAGGCCTGTGGGGGAGGCTCTGCCTGGCCCACTCTTGTCAGGGGTTGGTGTGTGCGTATTGTAAGAACACTTTCGGCTGTGACATTGCAGTTGGAGACTTGTCGTTCAGTGTTCCTTCTTCAACCTAGTGCCAGGAAAAGCTGTGTTCCTGAGAAACCAGCATTCTTGCTTGGATTGGTCTCTACCAGCCACACAACCCTCCCTGCTGTCTCTGACTGGGCAATGAGGCAGACCTCGGGGGCGGCTCCTGTGTGTGGTTTCCGTCCTCTGTATACTTTCTGATCTCCTTAAGTCTAAGCGTGTGATGGGAGAGCTCTGTTGCAAATAGCTGCAATCCTTCGAGAAGCAGGTGGAGGCAAATGTGACGAAGCAGCTCTAGACTCCCCTCGTGTCTCTACCTCTAGATCCAGGTGCTGTGGACTTGGAGAAAGTGGCCAATGTGATTGTGGACCATTCTCTGCAGGACTGTGTGTTCAGCAAGGAAGCAGGACGCATGTGCTACGCCATCATTCAGGTTGGGAGGGTTGGGAGAGTAGAGGGAGCTGCTTTGAGGAAGGTGCTTCAGGAGTGGGCAGAAGGCCTGGCCCGCAGGACAGAGATGCAAAGGGTCTAGCTCAAAGGCAGAGAGAGACACAGGACGGGTGGGGTTGCAAGGGCACCGCCCTGGCCCTCACCATCCTCTTCCTGGCTCACAGGCAGAGAGTAAACAAGCAGGCCAGAGTGTCTTCCGGCGTGGACTCCTCAACCGGCTGCAGCAGGAGTACCAGGCTCGGGAGCAGCTGCGAGCACGCTCCCTGCAGGGCTGGGTCTGCTATGTCACCTTTATCTGCAACATCTTTGACTACCTGAGGGTGAGGCCCTGGCAGCCACCCTGGGAGGCAGAGATGGACTGCTCCCCACAGTCACCAAGCCGGGTGCTCTGACCCTCCCCCACTTCCCCCAGGTGAACAACATGCCCATGATGGCCCTGGTGAATCCTGTCTACGACTGCCTCTTCCGGCTGGCTCAGCCTGACAGTCTGAGCAAGGAGGAGGAGGTGAGAGGCCCTGGCAAAGAAGGCTGTTGGGGTGGGCAGTCTGGCTCAGCCCAGAGTGCCAGCCCACCATCCATAGAGGCCTTCGAGGGCATCACTTCTGGGGCAGGAGCCTGATGGGGGCATTTAAGGCCTGTCACAGTTACAGGACAAGCTGCGAGGTCTGGAATTTATCCAAAAAAGAGCAGCCAAACCTACTGGCTCAGCAGCTTCCTTCCCTTGCCATCTATGACAGGCATGGTGAGCACCACAGGCAGCTGTGGGTACTGATGGCCCTGAAACCAAACCAGGGTCAGGCAGTGTGGGGGAGGCAGAAAAGTGGGGTGAAGAAGCAGTTCGGAGACAGGCTCGAGTCTAGCATGGCCAGATGAGGGACCTTAGGCAGGTCCCTGAATTGGTCTCTTTCTATGTAAGGCATGGGTAACACCCACTGGGTGTGAGGATGAAGCAGGAAATGAATGTAAAGGGCAAAGCACGATGCCTGGCACGCGGCAAGTAAATGCTCTGCGTTGTCGGCTGGCCCTGCCCAGGGTTGACCAGGGTCACCCGCTGCCCCCGCAGGTAGACTGCCTGGTGCTGCAGCTGCACCGCGTCGGGGAGCAGCTGGAGAAGATGAATGGGCAGCGCATGGATGAGCTCTTTGTCCTGATCCGAGATGGCTTCCTGCTCCCAACTGGCCTCAGCTCCCTGGCCCAGCTGCTGCTGCTGGAGATCATTGAGTTCCGGGCGGCTGGCTGGAAGACGACCCCGGCTGCCCACAAGTACTACTACAGCGAGGTCTCGGACTAGGCCTCCAGATCAGGGTGTCCTCATAGGCAGCATCAGCCTTCTTTCTGTCCACCGCCCAAGCTGGCAGTGGAGTCTCTCTCCCAAAGACTTTTAACCCCTCAAGCCTTTCAGCATCTTCCCTTCTAGACTTTCTCATCTCCCAGTGAGATGTTCCCCACTGATGCTATGGTCCTGCCCTGAGCCCCTTCCCCAAACTCAGAGGTTGGGGAAGATGACAAACAGATATCTGGGCTCAAGGCTGTCCCCCTTCTGCACAGTCCTGTGTGCCTCCCTCCCCCACCACCTCCCAGGCAGGGAAGGGCAACTCCTATCAAGGGCTGCACCATGTAACCATTGGTACAACAGCTACCTGGGTGCCTCAGTTTCCCCATCCATAAAATGGGTAACTATGGCTGTTGGTGAGATGCTTTGGGTTGTGAAGGGGCAGAAGCATAGTACAGGTCACACCAGAAACTGCTTTTTATACATTTTGTACAGGACCACTTTGGAAACAAGCGTATGTCCTCCAGTTTTAATAAACGGTAGTACCGTCATCACACGCTATGCCAGGTCAGCTTGAGCACTTTCTAATAAATCTTTTCTGATACTAAAACTGCTTCCCTTTATATAATCCAAAGGTCCACCTCAAGCCGAGGGAAAAGACTGGGCCCTGAGTTTTTTGGAGGAAATCCTCAAATTGGTATGTTTCATCTTAACAAGGTATGGGGCAGGGAGAACAAGTTCTAGCCCCAAAGAAAGGATTAATGGGCAGTAAACATGCTGCTCCATCCTCCCTGTAAGGCCTGCCCACCCTTATAAAGGAACTACGTCCTTAACCCACAGGTATTTTTCAGTGTGGCAGTGGCTCACACTTTCTTGCGGCAGAGGGCCCTGGGCTCTGCCTGGAACCGCTACCACCACCGGTAGTGGGCCAGGGCACGGTTGGCCTCGGCCATCTTGTGCATGTCATGCTTCCTTTTCACCACGGGGCCCTGGTTGTGAAAAGCCTCCAGCAGCTCGTGTGACAGCTTCTCAGGCATCAGTGTTCGCCGGTGCTTATTTTCCCGGCACTCAGTGATCATCCACTTCATGACCAAGAAGCGGCGACGTCGGTCAGCTAGGGGCACAGGGACCTGGGTGAGACAGACACAGACAAACTGGTCCAAGGGCCTGCCAGGGCAGGGGCCTCCTGCCTCCCGGAGCTCTAAGGAGTGGCCACATGTTCCCTTTGGGCCAGCCCTGGTAAGGTTTCTGAAGAAAGGGTCCTGTCTTTTCAGCCTTGGGTGTAGCAGACATAAGATACGTTCATTCAGCAGACATTCATTAAACACCGGCCCCTTTCCCTCCTAAATGGAGGCTCTGCCAAGTTGATACAAGTACCAAATTGGAAAAGCCCCATAAGCTGGGGTGACTTAGCCACCTCAGACCATGGGTGCCTGAAAAGACCCTCTGTCCAAGAATCATTTGCCAGGCCCTCACTATGTGCCACATATCGTGCCAGACACTGGAAATGCAAACACTGAGAAAGTCCCTATCCTTATGGAGTTTATATTGAAAAAAAGAGAAGAAGACCCACTTATGAAATGAAATGAAGTAAAACTAAAGGCTATGAAAGAGATGCCTAGTTCAGTCCCGGGTCAAGCACTATGCTAGATGCTGGTGCATAAAGACGGGACAGAAGCACAGTCTCACCAGAAGAACTTTACAGTTGAGGATACACAAGATGCTGGACAGATAGGAGAGCTGGGGGGAGCAGTCCTAGAAGATGTCATTTAAATATTTCTTTGCTTTCTTCCTTTTCCATCTTCTGAGATTTTTACACTACAAGACTCAATGAGCAGGTCTTGACAGTACAGTCTCTAGAGAGCTATCAATCTGGGCCCAGCTCTGTGCTCTCCCACTCCCCATCTTGTTTCACATGTGGGCTGCCCTTGTTTTCTTGCCCTGGCCACTCACCTGGTAGAAGTGGCCACCCTTAAGGATAGGTACCAGCCCAATCACAGGCTCACAGTTTTTCAGTGCTTGGTGGAAGATGGTGTAGGGGTTGCGTTCAATGGTTGCCTGTTCCTCTGCAGAAGCAGCATGGTACTTCTCAAACTGCTTCCTTTTCACAGCTTCCAGGGTCTGCAAAGGGATAGGGTGGAAGAGGCTGTCCCACCCAGGCTCCCAGAGGGTTTACTCAGCGCAGCTAATACCTTGCTCTTTACTCCCATCATGTGGTTCTTCTATGGCAGTGCAGCTCCTCCCTCAGCACAGCCAACACAAAGTTTTTAAGTGCCTCCCCCTTTGCTAGACTAGGACCGAGAAGACTGAGATTTGTGAGGGGTGGGGAGATGGCAGTTACTGACTCCTGCAGGACTTCATTAAAGCCCCCACGCTTGCAGGGAAGTTAACTTTAATGATAGGTATATGAATCCATTATCTCTTAAGCTAAACTGAAAGAACCATGTACCAAGTCACAGGGAAAAGAGGAAGGAGGTACCGCTTACCTGTGTCATGAGGGATCTGGCCAGTACTTTGTTTCCTCCTTTCATCATCATGTTGGTGAATTTACTTCAAGGAGAAAAGCAACATGCTTAGCTTTCCAAGGTTGTATCATGGAACCCTTACCATAGACCCTCCCTGGAAAAAGAGTGTCTGTTTCCATCTAACCTGATCACTGGGTCTTCAAAAACAGAGCTTGTTTTCGTCGCTGGAGCAGCTTTGATGAGCTGGGTCTTCTTGAGTTCCTGATCATACTTCTCCTCCTCAGTTAGCTCAGCCACAGGCTTGCGGTAATATTCCTTGTCAATCTTGGGATCCTTGTATTCAGGACCATAGCGGCTCCACCGCACCTGGGTTACCCTGGGAGGGAGAGGAGGAGGAGGCAGGCAAAAGCTGACTACACAAGTGAATAAGCTTGACTTAACAATAGGCACGTTTGCCAACCTGCCCACGAGGGAGAGCGGTGCGGGGACCACCAGCTAAACCTGAATTGCAATAACTTTGACTCCTGTTTCAAGAGGTAGGAGGACCTCCCCGAACAGGCCGGGAGTCTCCTTATCAAGTGCTAATGGTAAGGACAAACTCCCCGCCTATACGTCTCTACCCCCACCTCCTAATACATAGGCGATCTCAGCTCTGAGCTCCTTAGCAGGGGGCCGCACGTTCAGTGCTGAGTTAGAACCCTAGATCAGCCAGACCCCTTAAGCGTGGGGTAGTCACTAAGCCTTCAGATTGGCTCAAAGTCACGCAGTTAGTTAAGAAGCTTGAAGCAGATATCCTGGCCCCCACGGCAATGCTCCTTCCAGGGCCTCACGCGGCCT